TCTGCAAAAAATATACCGGCGAGAATGCTTGGGAGTTTATCGATTTTTCCCCAGTACAGATCTTTATCAGACCCCACCAAATAACTCTTCTTCTCCTAAACCAACCCAATCATTTCCACCATAGAGAAAATTTTGCCAGACACTTACTCAATCATTTTTTTTAAAATGTATTCACCAAACTTAATTTTAGTAAAATTCATTTTCATTAAAAAATTTTAAAACAAACCTCTTTTACCCCTTCTTCCCCCACCCCCCATCCACCTCTTCAAAACCCACCCCCCATCCCCAACACCTCCCCTCCCCCCAACATCCCAAAAAAGACACAGTTTTTCTCTTTTAACATTTCGTCAGAAAAGTCACCCAACACTTACAACTTATAAACCACTTTTCGTAATTCACTGGTACAATTTTCATATTCAAGTTAATACACCACACACCACACACACACCACACACACACACACAACACACACACACACACACACACCACCACCATGTAAAAGGGAGGGCACTGCAAGGATAAGGGGTACCGACGGGGGGCCCGCAACGGTCAGGACGTGAAGAGGTACACAGTGGGGGCCTGTTACGACGGGGTCCCACAGGGGGCAGTTCTAGGACCCGTGCTATTTTTTATTATGTGAACGACAGAAGAAGGGAAAAGACTTGAAATGTCCCTGTTCGCAGATGGGTGAATTGATGAGAAGAATTAAATCGGACGAGGATGAGGCAGGACTGCAAAGAGACCTGGACAGGCTGGACATGTGGTCCAGTAACTGGCTTCTCGAATTCAATCCAGCCAAATGCAAAGTCATGAAGATTAGGGAGGGACAAAGAAGACCGCAGACAGAGTGTAGGCTAGGTGGACAAAGACTGCAGACCTCACTCAGGGAGAAAGACCTTGGGGTGACCATAACACCGAGCACATCACCGGAGGCACACATCAACCAAATAACCGCTGCAGCATATGGGCGCCTGGCAAACCTGAGAATAGCGTTCCAATACCTTAATAAGGAATCGTTCAAGACACTGTACACTGTGTATGTTAGGCCCATACTGGAGTATGCAGCACCAGTCTGGAACCCACACCTGGTCAAGCACGTCAAGAAGTTAGAGAAAGTACAAAGGTTTGCAACAAGGCTAGTCCCAGAGCTCAAGGGAATGTCGTAACGAGGAAAGGTTAAGGAAATCGACTGACGACACTGGAGGACAGAAGGGTCAGGGGAGACATGATAACGACATACAAGATACTGCGGGGAATAGACAAGGTGGACAGAGATAGGATGTTCCAGAGAGGGGACTCAGGGACAAGGGGTCACAACTGGAAGCTGAAGACTCAGACGAGTCACAGGGACGTTAGGAAGTATTTCTTCAGTCATAGAGTTGTCAGCAAGTGGAATAGCCTAGCAAGTGAAGTAGTGGAGGCAGGAACCATACATAGTTTTAAGAAGAGGTATGACAAAGCTCAGGAAGCAGAGAGAGAGAATACCCAGTATCGATCAGTGAAGAGGCGGGGCCAGGAGCTGAGTCTCGACCCCTGCAACCACAATTAGGTGAGTACAATTAGGTGAGTACACACACACACACACACACACACACACACACACACACACATACTTTTTCTCAATAACTGTTAAGAAGTATTCTCTCATCTACATCCTTTAACAACTCACTAGAGAACAACCCCACACTGCTTAGAACACCAAACCATTCTCATACAACATTTGAATACTCTCAAACATCGTTTGAACACTTCCAAACAACATTGGATCACTTCCAAAAATATCATTTTGAATATTACCAAATTACATTTTGATACTTCTAACTCATCCATACTTACATATTTCATTAAATTACATCTCATCCCCCAAACTCCTCCCTCATTCCCCAGATTTTTACAACATTATCACAAAAAACTAACTCATACACTTATGTCATGGACATTACCAACACTAACACACAGCCACCACACTTTACTTTGAACACTACCAAAACACTCTCATACATCATTCGAATACCGCCAAATCACCACTGAATACTCCCAGAACACCAATGAACACCTTCAAAAATACTCTTGCACATCATTTGATCACCTTCAAAAACAGCTTTGAATAGTCTCAATCACCGTTTGAATACTCCCAAATACACTCCTGAATACTACCAAAACACCACTGAATACATCCAAAACACCACCAAAATCACCAGAAACTAAGATCAACATCACCAACTAACACCCATTTTCACACAAATCCCCTCAAATCACTGTAACCAAGAGGATTACCAATTTCTGCGAACACCTAACACACAGACACCACACTTTACTTTGAACACCTTCAAAACACCCTCATACATCATTTGAAGACCACCTTTCCTCAATATCTCTTAAGAAATATTCTCTCATCAACATCCTTTATCATCTTACTGCAGAACAACCCTAGATTACTTTGAACACCATCAAAACACTCTCATAAATCATTTGAATACTCACAAAAACACCTTTGAACATTTCCAGACAACACTGAAACACTTACAAATTACATTAGAACATTTCGAAGACATCATTGGAACACTTCCAAAATATCATTTTGAATACTCCCAAATAAGATTTGCCATCACTAATTGTTGCAAGCCCTGAATGGGTTGCTATGCATATTATGTATATAATATGTGTATATATTACATGTATATTACCTTTTCATATAATTTTATATTGCTTATATTTGCAATAATAGCTAAATCGTAAGTATATTGCTTTATATTATTATTTGACTTAGTTGTGTTGTTAGGTAGGATGTAACGCATATATTATGTGCTCAGTTCAAGTCTTGATTGTCTAACTACTGTAATTATCGCTCTTTGCTCGTTATTCTGCCGGCTTCTGTTGCTGAGCTGCAGCTGTCCACGGAGCTATCACGTGATCGAGGGGGGGTGTCCTCACCTCGCCTGAAGTATTCAGTCTGGTCAACACTCTCTTGGTGGTTGGATGTATTCCTGACAAGTGCCTAAATCTCCCTTATTTGCTCTTGTTGGAAGATCGTCTCTGTCTCATTATTATTCTTGTTAGTTCTGGAGCCTCTGTTCACAGAACATTGTATAGACTTAGTGATTTTCAACATTGTACTGAGGTTGTGTGTCGCAAAGACACTCTGAGCAACTCAGGTTCTGAGCTGTAGCTTCTTACCTAACTTGTACTGGTATCTGTGTACTATCACAGTCGGGGATTTTCTTATGCTGAACTTAGATTCAGTAGTATTGGAGCTTTGTGACTTTGTGGAGGGTCTGCTGATGGTCCCTACTGCTGTTTTTTTTATTTCCCCCTTTTTCCTGATTTGTGCAGTTGCTTGTTTTTTTGTTTTGGT